CCAAGGCAAGCACAAGCAAGCCGATGAAGGAAATATATTATAAAGCCTGTTCCTCTTCAATTTTATAATCTGGGCTGATGAGGCCATGAACTCGTCTTGTAAACTTTTATATTATATTTATATATTTATATTATTCTTTAGTTAAATAAATTTTGGAAGATAATGTCTTGATTTGAGTCCAAATGGGTCAATTTCAAATTTCTTTTAGTTGTTTTAATTTGATTTTTTTTTTTTTCGGGCCATTTGGTACTATATGTTTAGGAGTACTTCTAAAAATGCTAAAAGTGTTTCTAATGGCGTTGGAAAAAATATATATATAAGTGCCTTGGAGTCACAAATGAGCTTTATAGGTGAGTCTTCAAGAATCATTTCCAAAAATTTGGATATTTAATAAAAAATTTGACGTTCTTTAAACAAAAGCGTTTCTAAAAAAAACTCTTATGAGTAGAAATGGTGCCTAAAAAGTAGTCTCAAATGAGCAAGTTGTTTAATTTTTGTTTATTTTATTGACATTACCCTATGTTTGGATGGAGGAAAATAACTTGGGATTTAGCTAAAAATCGGGAATTGAAGAGCAGAAATTGGTACTTCCATTTTTTTAGCAACTTAAGGATGAAACCTAATAAATGACAAGCGTAAAAAATTGTGAAAATTAGGGATCAAGATTCTCGAGTTTAATTTCCTCTAAAAGAGGCGTCATTTTGCAATTTCTATTGAGCCAAAATTCATTTTTCACTGTAGTTTCTATCATTTACAAAATTCGACATACATAAATCCGAACACTGAAATTATTAATTGCCAAAAATTTAAACTGATGAAGATTTAAATTCCGTCATTTAAGAATTTTATGCAATTTTCAATTCTTTCTTTCAAACGGAGGGATATTTAAATCCGTCATTTAAGAATTTTATGCAATTTTCAATTCCTTATTTCAAACGGAGGGTTAACGATGAGTGACAGGTAGAAGAGAAATTAAACAATTAGTGGCAAGCACGAAGAAATCAAGTACAAGACAGAGCATATTAACAATCAATATAAAGCTTTCTGTTGGAGAACCACTATTTCTAAGATATTTATCAGTAGCACTGATCCCTTGTAGAAAACAAAATAGCAGTTTGGTGTATTTAACTGTCAACTAACAGATGCCATGCAAGTCACAGCTGCAAATGGGGTGTTGGCAAATGGCAAAGTGGCAATTGGCAATGGCCGGCACACAAGAAGACCGACCCAGAATATACTCAATGATTGAATCTCTCTGATCTGTCAAAAAAATTAAAGACATTAAAAAGAAAGCTTCAAACTCAAGCTCATAGCTAGCTAGCACTTCCGTGGTAGGAGTGCAAGTGTTTCATTATTAATTCAATACGAATATAAAGACTCACATTTCTCTTCAATTTGATCACCCCCTTTTGCATTAATCACAACTTTGATCTCAAATTCTCAAGCCCCATATGGCAAACCCACCTGAGAAATTGGCCTCAATTCACGAAGTTTCTACACCGCCGGAAGAGAGTTATGATGACTTTGATGAGGAAGAAATAGCTCCATCTTCTTCTTGTGGTTGTTTATGGGGAAGAAGCAACATTGGAACACAGAGATATCTACTGCACCAACAACAAGAAGGAGATCAAATAAAAGAAAATTGGTTGGTGGAGAATGCGAAGAAAGTACGAGAGTTTTCGGAGGTTTTGGCAGGACCAAAGTGGAAGAATTTCATCTGCTCCTTCAGTACAATTTACAAGAAAAGAAGGGTGCAATTTCAGTATGATCCGCAAAGCTATGCGCTTAATTTCGACGATGGGGGGTTTGACAGGAAAGTAGAGGGTAATTCGTACCTTCAATTTTCGAATGCCGGAAATGCAGCTTCTCCAGGGATGAACAATGCCAAGTTCTGATTTGCTAACTCTCCCTGTCCTCATGTTTGCTGTTGTTGCTCTTGCTCAGTTGTATATGTGTTTCACGCATAGATGAAAATGAGCTACTTGTTTGTTTATAGAGATTGTTTATTATTCACTCTTTCATTTGATCTGTTTCTGACAAATTTATGAACAGCTAAATTTTGCCAGTACTTGATTGTTTTATGTTACTTCTTGTGTATAATTCTCTGGGCATATTTTCTAAAGTTCTGTTTCTTGTTATGTTCTGTTATCTAATTTCTGTGGTAGTTGCCTCAGCTTCTCCAAACCAATCCACTCTAGAGAAACTGGTGCATGGTTTCTGCATATACTTCTGCACCCATATATACCAATTCACTTCACAACACAATCAAAAGAAATGGAAACCTGGAGCAGCATGATCCATGCCATCTGGTTGCACGAAAGAGCGTCAACGATGCCACTCTAAAAATTTACATACCTTTATTTACTACAAATTCATCTCTACAACAAAATGCCATAAAGAAAAGCTATAATTTAATTTAATCACCAGTGTGATGTATGTAAGGAACCATGCTCAGGTCATTGCACTGTACACCCACCACAACCCCTCACTGTTCTTATTCACAGACATGAAGATCATAAACAAAAAATTGTAAGCCCTCTAGTGGACTATCCAATTCAGATTCAGTAACATAATTCCTAAATACTGAACTCCTAATGATATATGATACTACATGCATTTGATCCATCTGCAGCCTTTGAGCATACCTGTATAACGGCTCATATTCGGTTTATCATCCCAATCTCATAATCAGTGTTAGCCTTTTTCTTTCTGTAGAATCAAAATATGATTCTTTCACTTCAACCCTGTTGTCTTCTTCCATGAAGTCCTATGCTATCATAGTTTCTATGTTGAAATTATGGATGTAGTGGAAGCATGAACAAATAATCATTCCAGGAATGGCTCTCGTTTCCTTTTCTCCATTCATCCGAATCGATCACCGCTGTTTTCACCTGCATTACTTCTTTTTGAATTAAGGTTGGTGGGACGCTCATGAGAAATTTAAAGTTGAGAATAATGCAAGGTTCAATGAACATACCTTTTGCGTTTGCTCTTCAAAACTGTGGAAGTTGAAGGATTGCTGTGCCAGTTCCTCTTCCTCTGATTGATGAACCAATTGTTTATCTGCTTTAATTGCAAACCAGTTTCCTGTACCAACCTAGCCTTGTCTTCCTCCTGAAAATTTATATGAAAACCATGGTAGTTAGGTATCGAAGAGCAAAATGTGAATGCAGTTGGCTTACTAAAGGATTGCCAAAGCAGTTTCAGCTTGTAGGCTAGGCTACAATTTTTCATTTAAACCTGTTTATATGTGTTCATCTTTAAGTAAGTATTCTAAAGACTCCCACAAGCCTACAAGCATGGCAGGAAAGCCAAAAGACTTTCAAATGATAAGCATGCAAACTCAAAGAGGTTCTCATTAACCTATACTTACAGTTGGATATGGCCACTTTGAATGTGATTGCCACCAAGCTTTTAGCACAGAGGTGGTGTCACCAGGAAGCTTTCCAGCTCGTCTCTTGCGCAAAATTTCCTCCCGTATGTCTACGATTTTCTCCTTGTAACCCTGTGAAAAGTTTGCTCAGATTGGTAATAGAGGAAATGCAACAGATTTACACTCAACAATTCCATTTTGTTACCTGCTTCAGCTCATGCTTCAACTCTTGCCTCACACGCTCCATCAACGACCTTTCGCTCTCTGTCGGGATAAGAGGGCCGAATCCCATGCTGTCATGACCATCCATGCTTCCATCAAACAAGTTTGCATCGCTGTCGACTTGGTCGTCTTCATCATCAGACATCGTAGCACCCGTGCCTTCACCGGGGGAAACTCCTGTTCATCCAGTTTGTATAAGAAACTAAAACTTCGGTGCTCAAGAGCCATGATCACTACCATTACAGAAAAAAAACATTACCTGTTAAGCTTTGTAGTGATTGCTCAATCTCCCAGCAAGCCATCACTGCTTCCATGGCATGCACCCGGACATGTTGTTGCAGTTGTTCTTTAAAAGAACAAAGCAACAAAACATAATGCCTCTATAAAATCATCAACAAGCAGAAACAATCAGAAACTATCAAAATTAAGTTAACAGATTGTTAATTATGGTAATTGGGTTTAAGCTTAAGGATCAAGAGAAGAACATCAGCAAATGACTTTGCAGAGAGCAAGAGTTGTCTTCTTGTGCCATGAATATCAGCTTTTGTCTTCCCGCATGTTTATTTTTTTCTGTTGTTATAAAAAGTTGGGTTTGTGTCACCCGAGACTCGCTTTTATTATGTTTAAACTTTAAATTATATCTGTCAACTGTAACAACAACAAAGATTTTATATATATATATATATATATATCTGTCAGCACCACCACTGTTCATATCTTGTAGCCTTAAAGCTTTTTCAGATCCCTACACCCCTATTTTTTCAAAATCTTCAGGAATCTCATTATTTCTTCTCATGGCCAGAAACATTTCAACTATGCCAAGTCCTTCCCTTGTACCACTAGACTAGTTTCCTCTGCTTTAGTAAATCCACCATCTCCAACCCATCTTGAAAATTAAATCCCATAACTTTTTTGTTTTAAATTCAACAATTTAAACTTAACCGCAATAGTTAGAACTTGTTTGAGACTGATTCTGAAATTCTTAAAAGCGTTTTTTGACAATAAAAATTGCTTTCATGCAACACAGAACAAAATTTCTCGATTCTCATTAACTCTACCCAAAATTGAAGAAAACTTTCTCATTTCCAAAGTGCAGAATTTGTAAATACTAAAATTCGTCTGTCCTACTATAATCTTACTAATTTGTGTTTTGATTGAAATTATGATGCTTAATAATTGTTCGAATTTTTTAAATCTTTTTTATAGTCGACTGGCCAAATTTGATGACTCATTAACAATTCAAAGCCAAGAGACACAAGTCAGCAAATTAAATCATCACAAATTCACACAAGCAATTAAAAAAAAAAAAAGGCATACCATGAACTGATCGAGCTCCTTATCATCGCCGACCATGCCGTGGCCCAAAGCCGAGTACTTAGCCACCACATTCTGCGACTGAGCCAGCTGGGCGTCGATCCTCGGCAGCTGGTCCACCGGCGTCGCGATCCGCAGGCACGCCACGTGTGCCGACAGCAGCGGCTCGTACAGCGGGTGGGCCAGAATCTCCGCCTTGTGCCTTGCGTTCTGCCAGTTGATCATTCCGCCGTCTCCGCCGCCACCGCCGCTCTCCACGACGATGTCCGTCTTGTTGC